GGGGAATTCTGGGAGTTGAAGTCCACACGTCTTCAAGTTGCCAAGGTTGAGAAACACTGGCCTAGAGCAAGGGCAGAAATCTTTTTCAAGCTAAAGGCTGCCCTTGGCCTCTGAACAGAAGGTCGTGATGCCAACACAGCATGCATTACATTAATGTGTTGCCTTTTCTGTGGGTAGTAGAGGATAGAAGCTAGCAGTTGGCCACAGAGGCCACTATGGCCAGGACATTATTCTCCATTCCTTTTTCAGTCAGTTGACAATTTAATCCTCCCTGTAACCCAGTGAGGTTGGTGAAGCCAAGAAGCTGCCAAGAAGAATATGGCTAATTCAAGGAGATCAGCTGAACTTCACTGCTTGCAGGGATTCAAATATGGCCCCCTAATTTGCATCCAATACTCTGGCCATGACATGACATTAGGGTTTGGAAGCAAATACTGAAAACTGTTTTTCCCCCTGACAATTTCCCCACACCCTTCTTTACTGCAAAGCTATACAAGTAGTCCTCACTTAATAACCACTTGTTTAGTGACCATTCAAAGTTACAGCGGTGCTGAACAAAGGGACTTACAACAGGTCCTTGCACTTACAACCATTGCAGCACCCCTGCAGTCATGTGATTGCAATAAGGGCGCTTGGCAACCAGCTTGCACTTACGATGGTTGTAGCATCCTGGGGTCACATGATCACCATTTGAGACCTTCCCAGCTGGCTTCCAGCAAGCAAAATCAATGGGGAACTGCGTGATTTGCTTAACAACCACGTGATTTGCTTAACAGCCGCAGTGATTTGCTTAATGATTGCTGCAAAAAAGGTCATAAAATTGGGCGCAAGTCGCTTAACAACCATCCCGCTTAACAACGAATTTTCCAGTCCCTATTGTGGTTGTTAAGCGAGGACTACCTGTAGTGCACGTGTTGGACATGCAAGAAGTTAGATTGGGTAGGAGTGGACATATTCTGCCCTGGATTTATAATCAGGTTTCACTCTGGCCACCAAGTTATTTGTCAGAGCATACTTGGTTCCACCTACTTGATAGTCAGGAACAGGAAGGGTCACAGACCTCCGCTGGAGGAGATCTACCCTTGGCGGTACTGGAGGGGGTTGCATCCCAGGGTCCAGATTTGGAGATGAAACGGGACCCGCTGTCTGGAGTAGGGAAAAGGAGAAAGGACAGGGTTAATCCCTCCCTCCCCACGTATTTATCCTCCTGGGAGGAAAGCAGCTGGCCTGTGTAGCACCAGACTCCAGGGCAAGAAACCAGGCAAAGCAGGACATGGCTGAAATGTCCCGATAGATCAGGGCTTTGCATTCGGGGCAGACAAACAAAACAGGGAAAATATTCCAGTATTTTTCATTTCTCCACCCGTTCCGGTTGATTGGGCCACCCATTTCCACTGAGAAAAAACAACAGGGAAGTAAAAGGAGACAGGCGTAGGACGTTGAGGAGGTGGCAACCTAGGGTGGAATCAAAAAAGTCAAGATGGCTCGGGGGACCATGCGCTGAGGTTCCGCCCTATTTTACCTGGGTGGCCTATGTGACATATGTTTCAGAAGGGGTGGGGTTTCAATGCTGTGGTTGCGGCTGCCACTTTTTCACCCCGCTCCTCCCAAAGGCCCCTGGGTGCAACAGTGGGGCCCCCTCAGAGTCTTCCAAGGCTTGCCCTTCCCACCGCACACTGACCCCTTGAGTCCGGCGCATGAGTGCCAGCTGTTGTAACACCAACGCCACATCCTCCAAGTCCTCCTCGTCGCTCTCGTCCTTGGCCGTTAGGCTCCCCTTCTTGGGGCTGAAAGGGCTGACCTTGACATTGTCATGGCCCCAGATCTCCTGGCGACAAAAGGGGCAGGTGTGTGCTTCTGAAAGCTGGCAAGAAGCAGAGAGGGTCCAGTCAGGAATCGCCCCCACAACTCAACCCTGCGCAAGGGACAACGTTTGCCCAAGAAGGAAGGGAGGGAAGGAGAAAAAAGACAAGGGTCTAAGGAGCAGAACTTCCAAGAAATTCTCATGGTCTTCCCACCATGAGTGGGCAACGGTCACACCCAGAGTGGCCATGAAAACGGAAAACTGCATTGTGGGAAGAGTTTTTCTCCACGATTCCCACCAAGTGAGAAGCTCAAGAAAGGGAGGGCAGGAAATCACCTGCCAAGCCTGAAGGCATTCTCGGCAGAGGAGATGCCCACATGGCCGGATTTGGACATCCTTGTTGTTCTCGGCGCAGATCTTGCAAAGCTGGAAGGTGGAGCCCACCTGGCAGTAGAGTTCAAACTGTTCCTGCAGACGAAGAAGAGATGGGAAGAGGTGTGAAATGGGAGTCTAAATGTTTATCCAGGAGGAAATTATGCAGGGAGGAACACCCAGGGGGGAAAAAAGGGGGCAAGGCTCGGATCCCACTGTTGCTGCCGCCATCTTGAATCCCCCCCCCCTTGCAGATGTTGGGGAATTACAGAGGGGAATTTCCAGATTCCTTTGCCCCCAGCACGTTCCCAGCAAATCACTGCATCCAGATCAGAGCACGCAAACACGCCACTCAGTTCATCTAGCAAAAAATAAAGGGTGATGTTTGCTTGTTTATTAAACACCAGCAAGCAGGGAGACAGGCATGAATAACAGGAAAGGGGATTAAAAAAAGGCAGAGGAATTAATAACAACAAACTACACCAGTGTTCTTAAAGTGTGGGCCGATCTACTCTATCTACCTACCTATTATCTATCTATCTATCTATCTATCTATCTATCTATCTATCTATCTATCTATCTATCTAT